AGCAGACAGAACACAGGAGAGTGCTTGGAAGCCGTGCCCAGCCGGCATGGGTCCAGGGAGGAGCTCGACACTATCCCCAGCAGGCACGGGTCTACTGAACACCTGGAAAGTATCCCGAGCAGACATGGGTCTAGGGAAAACTTGGATTTACTCGCTGGTAGGCCCAGTCAGAGAGATCATGGGAACACGCTGCCACGGAGGCAGGGCTCCAGAGACCACCTTGACACTTTACCCTGCAGATTTGGGTCGAGAGAGCAGCTAGACTGTGGGCCAGTGAGGGAGGTCTCTAGAGGGTGGCTAAACACATTGCCAAGTAGGCAAGTGTCCAGAGACCGAATAGACACGTTGCCAAGTCGAGATACTTCTCGAGAACAGTTGGATTTGCTTTCTAGAAGACAGCCTTCAAGGGACCAGCTAGCATCGGCTAGGCAAAATTCAAGGGAGCAGCTGGACTTTCTCTCCAGAAGATCTAATTCCAGAGAGCCTCTGGACACAGTGCCTAACAGGCACCCCTCACAGGACAACCTGGGGAGTCTCTCTAGGAGGCAGCTGTCTAGGGAAAGCCTAGAGCCGCTGTCGAGGAGACAGCCTTCTAGAGAGAACCTGGAGGCCATTCCCAGCCGACATCCTTCCACTGAACAGTTAGATATCCTTTCTTCCATCCTTGCTTCCTTTAACTCCTCCGTCCTGTCCTCGGTGCAATCTTCCAGCACACCTTCAGGCCCCCAGACCACTGCCACCCTCTCTGCCGTGCAGACCTCCTCGACGCCCTCCGCAATGTGCCCTTCGACACCTCGCTCCGCCACCTCCCACAGCATTTCGGAGCTGTCACCAGACTCAGAGTAAGTGTGTCCCTTCCACAGCCAGGCCATGTTCAGCCGGTCTTGTGCATTGTCCGGCTGCCTGGCTTCTTCCCGAAGGGGGTTTGGTTTGGGGGGAGGGGGCTGCGTGAGGGTGAGCCCCTGGGGTGAGTGGCAGGTGTCTCCTGGTCCTGAACAGTGACCAGGCAGGAAGAACGGCAGCAGCCGCTCTTGCAGCATGGCACGAGCAGAAACATAAGCGTGTCCGAGTCTGCCCGCCATGCCAGAAGCGATGGCCTCACCTGCGGGCTGTGGGGGCTCAGGGAAGACGCTTCATGCAGCCAGGCTGACTTCATGGCCGGTTGCCTTGCTTGGTGCTGGCTGTACGTCCCAACGAGCAGATATGAGGGCCGGCCTGGCTGGAGAGGGGGAGGGGACCCAAGTCCTACAGGAGCCCTGCCTACCCCAGCCATGTTTCTCCCCAGGGACCCTGTCCCAGTCTCATTTCTTCCCCTCCAGTTCTGCTCCCTGCTGGTACTGCTCTCATCCCATCCCATCCCTCTTTCCTCTTCCCTGAACTCAGGGACTTGGAGACGGTTATTCCTGCCCTGACACAGGAGTGGGTTTCTGCCCTGTCCCCATCTGGCATAGCTGGGGGGAGGCAGCTGGAGCCCCAAGTAGGTGCCAGAGCTTAACACTGTTTTTCTTTCCTCTGAGAAGACTAACAAGAAATGAGGGCCATTCCTGAGGGGCTGAAGCCGTCCACAAGAGAGACAGAAGAAGCAGGGCCCTTCGCCCAGCCAGACGCTGCCAGCTGAGGTTTGGTGTCCCCGGGGGGCAGGGGCCAGAACTGATGGTCAGAGGCTCAGAACCGACCCTGCCCTCCCCTGCCCTCCGGCTGAGGGGCCAGCAGCCCGCACCACCCGCTGCCGGGAGCCTTCCCCCGCGGCGCCCGCCGTGCGCCCCGTTGCCTGCCCGGCGTGGCAGGTACGGCAGGAGCCTGCTCGGGCGAGGGTGATGTCGCTGACCCCGGGGACCGAGCTCTTCCTCTGCGACCCGTCCGCAACGCAGGGTGTGCGTGAGGGTGGGCAGGGGCAGGGGAACAGAAACAGAGCCCAGGACGTGGGGCAGGGGAGGGTTTTCTACCTTTTTGTACCTTTGTAATCAGAGAGAGAGAAATTTCTATGGTTATTTTTACGGATGGGCTGTTCCCAGGACCTGGAGCATTTGGTTCACCAACAGCCCTTTGCCAGCTTCCCCGGGGGTACCAGGGACTGTCATCCCACTGGACTGGAGCGAGTGCCAGGCAGCCCTTATGGCTTTGCCAGCACCGCTTCGTCCCATCCCCATTGCGGGGCAGCTGGCCCTGCTGCCCCTCGCCCTCCCACCGCTCGGCTCCACAGGTGTCCTGGTGCCATCCTCCCACCGGGCATCCCCCAGCCCCCGCAGCTGTGCTGGCCCTGCAGCCAGGCCTCCCTCTGCCCTCCTGTGGGACCCCCTTGGGGCTGCCCCCTGTCTGTGAGCCGGGCTGTGTGCCAGCAAGAGCACAAGCGAGCAGGGCAGCAAATTTCCGGACGAGGAAGCTGCTGGGGGAGGAAACAAGCTTTGCTGTTCAGTCCTGTCCTGTACCAGGATGGTCCCACTCTTGTAAGCACTGGTTTCCTCTGCTCAGCAAACGAGCGTAACGTTTTTACGCACTCTGTGTTGTGCTCTTTAACCTGCGAGTTGCAGAGCAAGCCTCTGCTGGTTGTGGGTCCAGGCCAGGCGCTGGATGACCCTAGCCCTGCTCGGCAGCAGGCGAGGCTGTTCCCAGAGCCGGGGCTCGCCCCGCGGAGGATTAGCATCCGCAGGAACGTGATGTGGCTCCAGTCTCAGGGTCCAGCATTGCCCACAGAAGTTGTATCTAGCTGGTTCCTTGCAGGCTCTCTGTACGTACGCACACGTCCCTGTGCTCTCTGGCTGACTGAGGACCCCAGCTCACAGTGTCCTGAATTTTGGGAGACAGAGACAAACAGCAGTTTACCCTCTCTGGAATTATAGGCCGCCCTGTTGGTTTCTCTGCTCGACCGGGGGCCTGGCCCCGGGCTCCCACTGGCCCTGCAGCCAGGCGCCCCTGCTCTGTGCCTACCCCAGCCTGGGGCACGCTGCCATAGCTTCTTACTGCAGCCCAGCCTGACGTGTTTACAGGAGAGGACTCGCGCTGCTGTCCTCCAGGCCCCCACGGAGGCCACGGCCGCTCGGCTGCGTCCCCAATTCAGTGGGGAGAGTGTGGGGGGACAGAAGGGCTGGGTGACAGAGGTGCCATGGGCCTGGCAGGGGCTGCCTGCCCCCGGCCCAGCCCTGACGAGGCAGGGTCGCCGCCGCCCGCCTGCCCCACGATGCTGACATGTTTACACGCCGTTTGGGACCGGCACGCAGAGGGAGAGCCTGCCGGCCCCACGGGCCAGGAGCAGCCGGGCCCCTCCGTGCTGCCCATCTTCGCCTTCGGGAACAAGCTCGTTTACACGTTTCTCTCTGGCTGCACAGCTCCGGCACCGGAGGCCTGGGGTCCTGTCCCCACCGCGCTGTAGGGCCCGTGTTTCTGCCAAGTTGGGCACGGGGGCTCTTTGTGCTGGTGCCAAATGGAGAGCAAGTGACAAGTGCCAAAAAAAGAGAGCACCAGAGCCGGTGGCTGTCCCACAGAGCTGGGCCAGTCGAGAAGCAGGATTCAGTCTGTAGCTTGGTCCCTGATTGTAGTGCTGTGGCCTGGGCTCTGGGGAGCATCCTCCTTGGGTTTGGGTTTGTTTCTTTGAGGGGTTTGGTTGGTTTGGTTTTTTTCCCTCTCTCCATCTCCCGATTCTGTGGGCAGGGAGCAGGGAGATGCCTGCATTTCCCCCTGGCTGTGTAAAAGTGTATCATGGAAGCGCCAGATTTTGAAATTAAAGTCTATAAAATGGTGCTGGCCTCTTACAGTCTCCCTGCGCCTGGGGTTTGGGGTCCATGGCTGGGGCTGCAGCTGCAGGGGCTTGGTGTGATGCTGGGAGGGGGCTTGGGCAGGAGCTCCCAGCCAGCTCCTGGGCTGAAGGGGAGTCGCTGTGGCCCGGGGCGAGGTGGCTTCAAGTGCCAGCGACTTCAGGCGCTGCCAGTTGCTTGAACTTGTCTGTGTGCAGACTGGTGGCCCCATGGCCCCAGCCCCGGCTGGCAGGTCTGCGGCACCGCGGTGGCTGTGGTTAGCCGTGGGGCCCGCACCCAGCAGCCTCGGCGAGGCCAAGGGGAGAAAATCCACCATCCGAAGGCAGGACTGGTCCGGGCTGCAGGGAAGGAGAAGGACGAGTGAGGAGCAGAGGCCAAGCGTGATCCTGCTGCCTTCCGTCTCTCCCTTCCTTGCTACTAGAGGGGAAAGAGCAGGTGAGCAAAGGGCGGTATGGATCCACGGTGCCCTGAGCAAGGGTCGCCATCAGCCATCATCCCCCGGTCCCTCCTGGGCTCCCTCCGTCGCGCTGGGCTGAGCCTGACCCAGC